CAGATCGATCCCTAGCTCACCAGGCTCCTTGTAAGGATTTAGATACTAATACAATTACAACAGGAATCGTCGCGCTCGAGAATTCTGCAAGTGGAGTCTAGACGAACGCTGTCAGGCTGTCCCGTATTTCTCTTCGTCTTCTGTGGTATTTCCTGTGGCGGAAACCAAGATGAGAAGTTGATCCAGACTAGAGAACCAGACGAGGAGTTAATTATGCGTGCTTCCTGAGTATTCAACCAAACAAGACGTTTCCTGGTTCGGGAAGACGTAAGCAGAAAACACTCATGATGGGGGCATCCAACATTTTTTATAATTGTGTGATACTCTCTTGGACAATTCAGTAAGCATCAGACGTTGGAAAAGCTGTCAAATTTCTTTATCGCTTTATTACTTTGGTCTCTATTTCTTTCACAATCGTGCCTCACACTGGCACAGAACATTTCACCTAACCCCCATACTTATCGCTCACAAGCCTTTTTTCTAATGTGATTTATAGTTTCTTTCCTTCAAAGAGCGCTCAAGGTGTTTATTGCTCGGAAAGGGAGTGAGTCTGTATATATGTAATTAGTGAGTCAATGGTCAATCATTAGAAACGCATTCAACCATGAAATGTCATGCACACACCAGTCACTGGAGAGTGTCACCAGAGAAATAGCAGGGGATACCGGGCCACGCCGTGCCTGGAGATTGCTTATCTGGGCCGCATTGGCTTCTCTGAGAGCATTCGCTCCTCCGCCTACATCCCCTTGCCGGTGAGGCAGAGTCACTGGGAAAGCCTTGGGTTAAGTTCCATCTACTTTCAGCTATCTCCTAACCACAGGTAAGTGTGGGTGATGAATTGGCTAAAACTCGGTAAAATCTCATCTTTAAGGTCCAAGGGGTTGTATTTGAGGCAGCAAAGAGGGTAGTAACTGAAGGACAACTTCCCGAGTAGCTATAATGTACCCACCCTGGGATACCCTAACCCGGTCTAACTAGTACTCAAGCTCAGGCGCCCAATCTTCGCACAGATTTCTATTAGCTGTCTCGAACTGGGCACATCTCTGTTGTGGAAACCACAAAGGAAGAACAGTCTGATGGGTTTCTGAGGGAGGAAACGCGTAGTTAATTGTCGAAACAACTTTTGCGAAGTCTTTTGAATTTTCCGGTGCGTCAATTTTCCTGTTACGCCTTACTGAACCCCTATTTTCCCTGCTCCTCTGCAGACTTTTGGCAAGAATTTGGTGATATTTCGTCACACCGTACGTGCAGTGAGGCGTGCTTTCGTACCGAAGTGAAAAACGTGGGCGGACGGGGGGGGGGTCGTATTTAGCACAAATAAATAGTTTCATAGTGCGTTGGTGTCTCAGTCACTAAAACTTCCTTCCAAGGAATAGAGATCCAGAAGAAGCTCGAAAGTTCTCTATTCTTTCAAATTTCCAACACTGTGTGGATGTTTTTTGCATATATTCGTTGAATTGGCACTTTTGTCAGCCTGAAACAGCTAATTGTTATGCTTTTATTAGTACATTCGTGAAAGTGCTTCAAATACCTGTTTTACTTCAGGTATGCACTCCAGATTAGGGCTTGCTCACTTAAGCGTAAATCAGTTTCAAATTCTTGGAGCGCTGTTCGGCTCAGCGGAACAGGGGGGAGGGCGCTTTGCACTTTCGCTAGTTTCTCTTACTAGTTCATGTCGAGCGACACGTTTCACCTTGGTGAGACCTGTGAATTCTTGTGAAGCTGCGAAATGGGCCTTCTCTGTGACAGGAGTTAACAGGTCTTTACAAGTTGGCCTCCTTAGTGCCTTTACCAGACCGAACTGTCCCTTTAAAGGCTTTTTAAATTAGTTATCCGTTTGAAATAGATGTTCTCTGAGTGCGCGACATCACCTTAATTACCTAGACTATTAAATTAAAAACTTTATTGAAATTCAGCTTCCTTGTTGCTGTTTCCGTATTACATTTCTGCACGCATGAATCTCCAGGGATTTTGCAGCATGTTTTTGGAGTTTTCATCTGCAGTTGCTGCTATAAGCAAACGCTTGCAACTTCACTTTACTTCACCATATCTTCCCACGCCTCCTGTTTACTTCTTTCTTTTCTTTGACAATGTGAAACTAATAAACAAACTGATATGGCCGTCCCAAATCATCTATGCACTCCATGTCCCTGAGGTAAGAAGGGCTGTGACTACAGGGGAGGGTCAAAAAAGTCACTTTTCTTCATTGACTTTCGAGGCGCTATAAGTTACACTTTAATTCTGATCGGACATTTTTACCACCATATTAAAGAGCATATTAAATACTATCATGACACTCCGCCACAGCCTTCTGGAGGAAAATTGAGCGCGTTGTTCAAATGTGGAGACGAACCGTACAATCGTGATTTGTCGCGTCGTAGCGCGCGGCGTATCGTGCTACTATGAACGGCAATCTTTTGATGTATATCAGTTTATCCGCTGGACCAGCGAAACTGGTATGGATTCAAGTGGATACAAGGCTCATTAACAGGCGACATTGGGTTTTCCCGTCCCTTGAATACTCAAATTACTGCTGGGCAGGAAAACTCGTCTGTCAGGTGCACGGCGTCGCTCTCCACGCCCACCAGCGTGGCATGTTACGATTGTTTTTGGCTCATATCTGCACAAATGAAGTGCTCAGCCACGCCATCGTCACCTCATGATATGAAGTGGATTAACATTCATCGTCGCCATTTGGGCGGAACCATTTGCGCTACCTCTCCGTCCTTATTCATACGTCCCTTCGCTTTGCTATGTTGAAAGTTTCCAGTCGGATCTCCTAGCAAAGAGTTTCCTCCTTCCGCGTGTGAAGTGAGGTATTGCCCCAGAGTTTTTCCGCCCCAGTGTTAAGGATTTGCAGACTGTGGCAGGGGCCCTAACCGTTTGGTACACAACATCCTGCTTAGTGTCTTTTTCTCAATTCATCTACCTATTCTTTGCCCAGTTTCACTCATAGTCACCGTTTCTTGGGCTACTCCGGATGCGTTTTGAGGAATTTCATCCTCCGTCTAGCTTTGTCCGCTTCGGCGAACGCCCCGCCCATTTTGGGCGGAGCTTAGGTGACGTTGTGTGTACTCTGCAAATGCTGCAAATGTCGCGTCTATTCTAAGCACAATCAGCACCCTTAAAGTGAATTTTCACGAAACCCCAATTTCAGGCGGTCACACAGACACACACACACATACCTACGCACACAACACAGCTTCTGGTTTATATATAGAGAGATACTTCATCAACGAGAAGGAGGCCAGCGGTTCAGTAACCACGCCCATGCAATCAGCCCCGAACATTGCTTTTATGCACTCTCTTCACCTCTTTTCCTTTCGCTTCTTGCTATCGTTATTGTCTGTCTTTCAGCAATTTTTCATCATATTAAAGCGATGGATTAAAAAGGGAGAAAAAACTAGCATTCCCATATAATAAAGGTCAATATGGCATTTATCTGCCTGTTCTCTTCAAATGCTGAGACAGCCATTTTCATCTTTTCTTTCATAATAACGAATGCTCATTTCATATGAAGGCGACGCTTTCAATATACCTTTTTGCCGTGTTCCAAGCACTCTGTTATTGACGTCCTTGGCGGTGCCTCAAAGCTCTTGTTCGGTTTATTTCCTTCTCTAGAAATTCAGGCACTGTTCGAACTGGAAGGGCATTTTGCACTTTCACTCGTCCCTTTTGCTGGTCCGTGTAAGATAACAGGTCCCACTTTGCTGAGACCTGTAAATCCTGTCCATCTGCAAAATGAGGCGAGTGATCCGCTTTGGTCACAGGAATTATCACATCTTCACAAGGTTGCCTGTACAAACAGTTGGGAGCCATTCGGTGCCCCCACCAAGCTGAGCTGCACCCAAGTTCGTATATTTTCTTTCCAAAGAATACAGTTACTCAGGCCTTTTCAGGGGATTTCCAAGGTACATTTCTGTTGTCTGCGGACGCTGTGGCGTGTCAATGAGAGGGATGGGCTTGGCGCGGCGTCAGCCAGTTCTCCACCAACTGCGGAAGCGGGTGCAGGGTAAAGCATCGTGATGTGTGAAATGGTGGGTCAATAGGACCCCTCCCCTCCGCCTACTCGTGCCCAGCTTCCTATCCTTGTTCCTGAATTTCCCGGGAATTTTCCTACTTCTCTCAAAAAATTTTGCTGTCGAGCGGGGGTGGGGGGGAGTGAGAGGGTATATAGCCAATGTGAAACGGGAAAATTTTTTCCAAACGCGGCAAATTTCTCTCAAGACACATACGGTTCCCCCCCCCCTATCCTAAACAACGACCAAATACTACCCCCTCCCGGCGGTCAACGACCCCCCCCCATGTGTTTAACACAACGATGGTGTACCGTGAGCGGGTGAGCGAAAACAACTGATTAAAGGCAGGGTGGCACTTCGCCAGACTCAGCCCTCCCCCCTCCCTCCGAGCCACAAGCTTCCCAGACGGTAGAGCTTCTCTCACTTTCATAACTACACAGCTTCTCCTCCATCTTGATCTACTATCTCTCACACTTTTCTCACCCACGTCTTCCTGTTTACCCCTATCATCAGGGAGCCTGAGGAGGTGAGGGCAAATGTGGTTTATCTGGATAAGAGGAGAAACCATTCAAATCCCTTATGCCCACATTATTTTCCTTCTTTGGAAGAATTCTTTCCTTCTCTCTTGGGAGGATTGTTGGCCTAGTTCGGCGTGGTGGGGGTACTTTTTGGTTTCCATCATTCACTACTGGTGCCTCCTGTAAATACGTTTAAATTTTTGTAAAGTAGTGCCCTCTCGTTAGCACCAGCTTCGCTTGCACCTGACAATAGTCCGCAGGTCACACCAGGGTGAAGCGTGTTAGCCCCCCTGTGAAAACCTGTAAACACTTGGTAAGCTGTGCACTATCACGAGCTTTGATTACACTTCACATGAGTTTACAAGACGTGACGTGTTACATTGCAGGAATTAATGCGAACTATAAAAATGCCCCCACAGCGTCAGATTCTCTCCATTTCAGAAAAGTGCCAGTTGAGTGTCGAATGCTGAGCAGTCGAAGCACCGATCAGCCAACGAACAACAGAAAGTGCCGACATACGAAACCACGTCGAGGTTCCGTAGTGGAGTGGATTAATGGCCTATCGGATAACAATGTGTCTAGGGAGAACGAATGGGAAAGGCAAGTCTAGCTAATACAATTAATCAAATTTCTTTCTTTGAGTGCCCCCCCCACTCAATCCTTAATTGGTCTAAAATGTAAAGTCGCAGATCTACTTTCGGTATGGAAAATTTAATTTCAGTAGTTGTTCATCACCACGTTTGACCCGCCATGGAAGTGTTGCCTCGGTCGATGAAACATTACCAGACGAACCTACCAAACACCGTAATCAGCTGCTGGCTGCCCTCAAAAAAGAGGTATGTTACTATTTTTGTTTCCGGAACGGGGCTATCATAGTTCTAAGGAGGAAAATTCAGGTGAAAGTGATTATGGAAGAAGCGGTTACAAAGCGACAAATCGACATCAATTCCCCGTATGTCACTTCATTATGTGGTGAGTTACTTCTTCCTGTTGTCTCTACACTCTTTCCCCCCTCCCATCCACCGGAAAAAGCAATTCTTTCATAGTTCGATTGCATTGAAAAGCAATTCTACTACGCCATTGTGATTTTTTAGGAGCTGTTTTGCGTCACGAGGCTTTCAGCGCGTTGAGATTGAAAACATCGCCTTCGTGTGTCAACATGCTCTAAGCAACACACACAACACATTCGTCAACAAGAAACTCTTGGGACCCTTAGAAAACTAGGAAACACCCTGGCGACAAGTGCTGACATGGCTTTTATGGTGTTGACCAAGTCATTTTTCAAATCAGCCACGTATTCTACTTTCCTTAGAATTGTAGCGGTTTTTTAATGCCAGAGGGCCTATGCAGTGCGTTCTGGTTGCTACTCTGAGAAATTTACCATAGGGGGTTCTTTCGGCATTTGACGGACAAGCCTGAATACCCGCCGACTTTTCACGGGCCAGGGTGGCGAAAGGGCCCACACTATAGGCATGGTTCACATCAGGATGTTAGTGGGATCCAGCCCATCTACAAGTCGGGTTCCATCCTTGGAGACGGAAAGGAATCTGGTACCTATACCAGCCCCATCTCCATCAGCTCTATCTGGAGCCATACACTTTTTGGTCGTCTCGAGCCAAAGGTCTGGGACAAGTGGTCTGAGACTTAAAGACGAGCGGGCGCTGCGTAGCGCCTTCGCCCATCGCGTGCGCCCGCCCACAAATGGACGACACGTACCGGTGCTCATATTGCTTCATTTGCTAAGTAAATATGAAGCGAAGGGATTGGTATGAAGCGGCTGCGGTGCTGCATGGATATATGAGTACATGCGTGCTACCGTAGCGGTGATTGGCACGATGCGTCCGAAATTGCTTTTTGAGTCAAGTTAAGAACGAAGGCTTTTTTTCACAGGTTTTTGACCGTTTCACTTCGTTTTTGGTCATTTTTCCAAAACTCGTTCAATACCGTGCAGAACATAGAAAGTTCACAAGATGGGGTTCCATTCGCATATCGTCAACTGATCTGGTACCTAGACTGGCCCCGGATAGACACAAGTGTTGGCGGTCAAGGGTAGAATGAGGTGACAATTGAGTCGTGGACTATGGGCGTGATATATGACGCTATTTGCCAGCGCAGTACTTCCTTCTCAAGGTACTCATCATAGTTAAACGCTTTCACACAGACTAAGAATTATCTGAAGGGTAGCTTTTAAAGCAGGAAGTAATTCGTTGATGATAGAGGAAGTTTCACATTCAAAACAGGATACCTGTCTGGCGTCAAGAGCCGTCCGCTTGCCAAACATGCTATGGGAGCAGTGTGATTCATACCACAAACCATTTATGATACAAGAAATACTTGAAAGGAGCGAAAACTGAGTGCTCGCATTGTTAAAATGCATACATGGACAGTTCAACTCATAGTTATTTTTGCACCCTCAAAATTCGTCTCGCCCCTTCATCCTGGCTCTCTTCATGTAGCAGCCCTAACGTAGTGACCTGAGAATTCAAGGGAAGCTAGAAAATATGCTACAGCTGTCTAGCTTTCAGCGGACACCGCTGCACACCTCCTTTATCAGCTCATAACATCCGTAGTGGAATACCCTACAACGAAGTGGGAGACGTGCCTAAAGCAATAGATGTGATTGCTGGGGCCGCCAGCGTCATTGGAGTAAGGGTTTAGTGGGGTGTGGCCAGACGCTCTATCGCACCCCTTCCACCAATGACACTGGAAACAACCGCCCGCCTCCAGCAATCGCGCCCACTGCCTTTGAGACGCTGGGCGAGAGGAGACCTTCCAACCTAGGACGCGATATAACAACTGAGATATTCCGGGACTTTCTGGAGAGAGAGTGAGTGAGAGTGAGAGAGATTTGTCAATGCTTAACGGTGGTGTGTACTCCTCGGGAAAACTGGAAACTGGTACCGCTCACCAAACGTGCGATCAGGAAGTCCAGTATAGGTTGGAAAGGGGTCGTACCAGGCAGCGATAAAAGGAAAGACGAGAAGGGTTTGTACTGCATGACTGATTCCTCACGTCACCATGATGGGCTTTTGAAAGCGATCCTGGTCCTATCTACAGCAAACAGCCGCTTTGTGAACGCTGGCCGCCATACTTGGACGCCTGTTTTTGTTTACTTATCGCTTTTCATTCTATAAACACAGTAATTCTGTGTGTCGTTTGTAATGTTTGTTAGTCAGTACGGTGTAGCTCATGTATGTTGTCCGTCCGTCCGCAAATACTTCACGGGTTCGAGTTCGCTGGAGGCGAAAACGACCGCTAGGCAAACCGGTAACCGACTGGGAGGATGTAGCAGTCCAATGATTTGATTGTGATAACAGCCTCCGCTATATAAGACAACCATTCGGTACACTCCGAGCCATTGCACGAGCTGCTGGCGTGGCAGCTGGACGTGTGCTCGTGCGGGGGCAGGGTGGGGGTACCGGGTCGCCCTGCCTCCCTCTCCTGCACGTGCTCAGCCGGAGCTGAGCAAGTGTATGGGAGGGAGGCAGAGGGGAGGGTCGCGGGGAGGGGGTACAGTGAGGGGTGCGTAGCGCGCGTTTCAGTAGAAACGCGCACAAGGGATGAGGAAACAACCGCTAACAAAACTGCAAGCCAATCTATGTTACCGTAACGAACTAAGAAGTTGTTTGTTTTGGTTGTGATAACCCTCCTCATCCGCGCGCTGGCTGCACTGTATAAGAAACCACTACTTCCGAGCCATTGCACGGGTTGCTCGCGTAGCAGCTGGACGTAAGCGCATGCAAGGGGCAAGGTGGGGGGGGGGGAGTGGAGAGTACGGAATGGGGGAGGGTTAGGACAGGTGGGGAGTTAGTATACGAGTGACCCCCGTTCTGTGTGCCTCACTCCTTGCGGCGTAACATCTGAGCCCATGCAGGGGAGGAGGCATATGGATTGAATCGGGCAAACTGGGTACAGTAAGGGGATGCGTAGCGTACGCTTGAATAGGAGCAGGCGGCAAGAGAGAAGGAAAGAACCGCTAGCAAAACTGCAAGCTAATCCATGTTACAGCAACGAACTAAGAAGTTGTTTGGATTGTGAATCGCTCCCGCTATCTAAGCCAACCACTGTGATATACTCTGTGCTACTGCAGGAGCTGCTCGCTTGGGAGCTGGACGTGAGCACGAGCAAGGCGGTGGTAAGAACAGTGGCGGCGTAGTGTCCCTATGTTGCATGGCGGCTGCATACCACGTGCGGGAGTGGGTGCCGGTTGAATAGGGTCAGTGGGATATATGATGGTGAGGGGATACCAGATGAGAACGGCGATTTCGCGATTGGGAGCACATAGCCCCTGCGGCGGTAAGGCGTCTACGGTTGCGACAAGATGGGAAGAAATGATGCGACAGCCGCAATTGGATCTGAAACGTATTAATGTTGGCACTTACCAAAGTTGTGTAGCGTTTGATAGTCATACCACCCTCAAACGTACCCCACCATTAGTGATCGAACATTGCACGGGCTATTCGCGTAGCTGAGTGTGACCTGTAGGGTGGCTGAGCGGGGAATAGCTGAGGTTAGTTTGGGGATAGGTGAGGTGAAGGGGTACCATATTGGCGCGACCGACGCTCCTGAACAGGAGCACGCAGCGACTGCGGAGACCGAAGAATCCGTGGCTGTCATAAGATGGGGAGGACAGTAATCGATTATTATGACGTTTGAACTTTTTCATTATAAAAGCCCTGCAACTATATGGGACATTCTCCTCACATTTATTCGTATAAGACACGGCATGTCACCGATAGAGGCACCATAAATCCTAGACAGTAATCGCCTGCTTTAGCCTTCCCTTTGCTACACTTTCTTTCACGAGTTAAGAAGTGAGGCTCTAAAGCAGTTGCATGAGCCCGGCGAGCCGGGCTTCCAAGAAGGAGGAGAGCTCGGCGTTAGCCGGGCGATCCGACTGGTTTCTCGTAATAAATAGACATCGTGACAAGCAGATGTATCCGACTCGATTTTATGGAAATACCCAACCCGCGCTTCATTAGGATGGTATAGCAATGGAAATAGCTCCTGTTCTCCTCTCGTGAAACCTTCGTGATCAGTTTTTGCAGTGGCCGTAAATTGTCTTATGGACGGTCTGCGACGACGTTTGCTTGGACTGTTTGGCAGCAGAACCTCTCTGGCACTGCTCCATACCATCGCAAAAACCAATGCAGTCGCCCAACAGGTGCTCGCCAAGACTCTCGAGATAAATGCCCAGTGAGTACCTTTTCAACTTCCGACTGAATCGAATTGAGTCGAATTCTTTTAGCCGAGCCTGTGCTGCCGGGCAGGAGTCGTTTTGCTGTCTGAATGGAAATTTTCAATTCAGCACTCGTTCGTTGAGCCACAAAAAGGTTAGTGCAGGCACTCAGCACCTCATATACAGCTTTCGCAGATGAACAGTCCACTTTTGGGATAAGTCACGAATTTTACTGAAAAGCGCTCGTACTCAAAAGCGTAGTGTTTTTGATTCGACTCAGGTATCAAGAAAGCTGAACCGTCGGGATGGAAGATCCGGGTAGAATCCGGTGTTAGATATTCAACCTTCAAACCCTGCACATTGTATCTGTGTGGATTCACTCTCCACTAAATCATTTCATCAGCTCAGCGCCTTCTATTACAATGGAAAGAAAGCCTTGCAACATCCCAGAGGAATCTCTCAATTGGCGCTCTCCAGCCGGGAACCTCTTAGTTAACGCCCAAGTTGCTCTCAGTTTCATTCATTCCACAGCACTCCCACGATTCCGGTTTTCGCATTGCATATCTCATGAGTTATGCTAGTTCCGGGAACGTGTGAATTTTGCCGATGGTCCTGTTTGGTTAAAGGGCAGCATAGAAAGTGTTGCAGTGAAGGTCAATATCGAGGGCCTTGAGGTCCGAGATAAGATACCCTACAAGGTGAGTATGGTTTCGGGCGACTGAAATGCTTACTACGGTGAATCGTTGGGATATTCAAGTTCACAGTAGTCATGGGACGCCGTTCACGTAAAGTGGAGAGGCGAAAGCAGAGAACTGGAGCGGTTCTAAAGTTCGAAAGCGGATTATTCGTTGCCTCAATTCACAGGATGACTGGATACTTTACTCAACACATTTTACATTTGCACATCGGTGCTGGAACAATTCCCAATGCCCAGAGGAGTTGTGCAAGGGTATGACGCCATTGGTGTTGTTTTGAAAACAGGTAAACAA